TTGTACGAAATATTGAACAAAAACAACTGAGGAAAAATAATGTATCCAACTTGGCAGTTTTGGTAAAATCAGCATTAAATACGGTAATTGAATGTAGTTGGATGCCACTAGGGAAGATCTCAACTTCATTTTAATTTGTAGATAAAGCCTGCTGCGGTACATGCTGCCGACTTTGCTGTGCAAAAAATTGAACACGGTTTTGAATTTATTGGCGGAATGGATAACTTAAAGCGTACCCTGGAAGTAAGCGTGCTAGCTGGACTACGAAGACGGGAAAAATTTCGACATTTTGGATTAAAATTGCCGAAAGGTAAATAGTTATACCTATTTAACAAAAATTCGATTAGTTCATTTTTAATCCTTGAAATTTGAATTTATCATTTGGCAGGTTTGCTTCTATATGGTCCTCCCGGCTGCGCTAAAACAACATTCGCGAAATGCCTATCCAAAGAATCCGATATGACATTTATCTCCATATCTGGTGCTGAGGTTTACTCACCCTACGTCGGTTTCGCAGAAAAATTTATATCAAGACTATTTGATACAGCGCGAAAAAATGCACCTTGTCTGCTGTTCTTTGACGAAATGGGTTTGCAAAAACGACACAGTCAACTAATTTTTAGATATTTAAAATTATTATTTTTCTTTCAGACGCTCTAGCAGGTCGCCGGCCCATCAGCTCAAACAATTCAAGTGATATACAAGTTCGTGTACTGTCCACCTTACTCACAGAAATGGATGGCATTATTGATGGATCGGATGAAAGTAATCAAGAAATACTTGTTGTTGCAGCTAGTAATCGGCCAGACATGATCGATGATGCTCTATTGCGTCCAGGACGTTTAAGTAAACATATATTTGTGCCACCACCCGATATGCAATCGCGTATTTCTATTCTTGAGCTACACGCTAAACGTATGCCTTTTGCTGGAGATGTAAATTTGGCTCAAATAGCTGAAGGCACAGAACAATACACAGGTGCTGATATGTGCAATTTGTGCAATGAAGCTGCATTGTTAGCCTTTCAACGGATTGAAGAGACCAATGATGATTGTAAAATCACGGCAAATGATTTTGCTACTGCTTTGGAAAATTCAAAATCTTCGCTTTCGAAAAGTCAGATGAACCTATACGCGAGGTTTCAAAGTAAAATGGAAACGAAATCTTAATAATATAAGATATAATATATTCCAACGTTTACTTTATTTTGTTCCAACACATTTTGACCGTGCCAGAAAATATACATATCGTCGTTTAAAGTGCAAAACCGCGTATCAGCAAAATGCAAAACCGCGTATGTGAAGTTGTAGAAATTATTTTCTAGACCGTAAAAACACTCATATTTCAAAATGGTTCTCTTTTTTATAAAGCAATCGCATTTCTGGCTAGTATATTTTAGGGCGAATGGATAAGCAAAAACAAAGTAAAAAATAAATTTTTAAATTATTGTACTATAGTCTATACACAACAATATTAATTCTGTGGTCACAAACAATAACCGCCTAAGTCGATTTAAGAAAGAATGGAGTTATACATGCTATCGTATTCTTCAACCACTATTCCATGCGTATGTGAAATCCTCATCTCGCCAGATGGGCTACTTAAAAAGTTATAGGCGAAAATATTTTGGTTTCCCCATAAGGCTAACATTACAATCCAAATGATTAACGTTTTTTCTCGAATTCAGGTTTTCTGACTTAGGCGGTTATTGCTTATGACCATAGAAATATTTGCTTTTGAGCTTTTGAACTAAAGTTGGAAGAGACTTTTGATCCTTTTGATTGAACTAGTTCATTAAAGCAAACTAAAATTTTCTGTGGCAACACCAATAAAAATGTAATTTTAACACATATGGCATCTCGTTTTTCATTGAAAAGGAATAAAGAAAAATAAATAATAAAAATGATCCAGTACTCCATGAACTTACAGGTTTTTACACGAACTTACAGTCATCGACTAACTCTTAAACTATTCGGACGTGTTCATACAAGTATTCTTAGCTCGCGTAATAACAATAAGAAAATAACCCGTTATCATATTTCGCTTTTGTGCACTTTAGTGGAGCATCAGCATAACAACCACTTTGTAAACAAGGAACCGCTACAACATACCAACAAACAACAAAATGCCAACACAACCAGAGCCACCTGACAAATCAACAAACAGATTCGCAATACTAAGCCAATTTGACGACTATAACACCGATTACACATTTCCCACACTTACACATAAACAAACACCACTT